TTTTTACAACTTTCCATCCATAGAAAACTTGAAACAAATCTAGATCAATCAGAAGATGCTTTCTGCATAAAGGTACAAAACATTATAAATCGATTGATAAATGCCAATGAATTAGTAATTCAGTGTGAATAATATCAACCACAAATGCGTACAGATATTTTGGAAAATAAAATTATTAAAAATCGAAATGAATTTGAATATTGCCTTCCTTCATCATATCACAGAATAAATAAGTTTAAGTTAAACTAATATCTACTGTTTAAAAAAATTAACAAGTCAGTGCTCACTGTATATATTTTGTAGTCCAGAATCTGCTCTTTCTAAAGCAAGAAAGAAGAAAGAGCAAGCTTCGACGATGCTTTTGGACGGAGATATGAAGCAAGGAAAAAACTTTTGGTTGACCCGTTAGATGTAAATAATATAAGAGGAAAAATGAAATAAAAATATGCGTAATTTGTTATCATAGATCATTTGAGTTTGTTGGACTAAAAGATTAATAAAATACAAGAATGACTAAATGTAAACAATTAGTCATAAAAAATATGTGGGATTATTTTTCTATCCTTTTTGTAGTATCAAAGAGCTGTTCGCAAATGACATCAATCAATTCTTGCGTTTTTTGGAACCCTACGGTTCTTCTCTATATTATTCAATGCCATTTTTGCTTACTCCCTCACCCTGGGTGACCTCGTCCGAGTATTTTCTGGATAAAAATGTTGAGAAATGTTTGCAAAAAATTCGGATATAAAAGCTTTATTTCGCTGTTTGTAGTGTAAACCTGCGGCTTTCATTGTTGCCCTTCATTAGTTTTGTGTTCCTGCGTATTCGGAATGCAAAGAACTTAGTAAACTCCCGGTTAACATTAGTTGTGCATTACCCGTTAATCGGTAGGTGGATTAAAAATCTCAAATGCTTCAGGTATCTCAGCCTTTGAAAATCCAAAAATGCGAATACGATAGGACATTTCTAAAAAGCCGTTTTAGATTTTCGAGAATACTGTTTTTATGAATTATTCCCCCTAGTTCCGTCTTTCGCTGTGTGCTTTACGTGCTGTTCCTAAGGTGTGGTCCCTCGACCTGGCATAAAGGGGTTGTAATTAGTAGATGTTTGCTTTCTTGCTTTTTAATTCTGTCTAGAGCATGTCCATTTGCGATCAGTCGTTGCATCGGATATTTGCACTATATTTACCTTTCTAGGCACCATTTTGCATAAAAAGATGATATCATTTTTCCATGGTATCATTTCATGTCACTTTTCGAGTCCACTAGTAACTCTGTGTATGACGACGTCACTTATGAGCAGGCTCAAAGGTAAAGCAACTTTTCTTTGTGTTCTATCCTACGCGAATAAAGGCAGTTACAGAGTATCATTTTTTGTTCTGTCTGTTACCAAAACGAGCAATAACAGTCAAAAATGAATATACCGGAAGATTACATTTGTCCAATTACGGGTGAAATCATGAAAATACCAGTTATACTAGTGGAAGATGGTGTGAGTTATGAAAGATCAGCTATAGAAGCATGGTTAACCCATCACAATACATCACCGATGACCAATATGACATTAAAAGATAAAACATTCGTTCTAAATCGCAATTTAAAAAACTCTATCGACTATTTCGTCGAACAACATGAAAAAAGTAAATATACTAAAGATGTGTCACATACAATTTCAATCGGAAACGGGGCATCCCCAGACAGTCTTCGAAAACATCATCAACAATTAAAAATCACCATTACACTACTGGGTGACTCGGGAGTTGGTAAATCAAGTATTATACAGCATTTAAGATTTGGTAACAAATTATCGATATTAAATCATTCTTCGACAATTGGAGTGGACACTTGTATAGTGCATTTGAAAGAATTATTTGAAAATCGATATGCTGTTGATATACATGTATTAGACATTCCCGGTCAAACACGCTTCGAAGCTGTTTGGATGCATTATTTTCGTGTTTGTCATGGAGCATTTTTAGTTGCTAATGTAACATGTTTTGAATCGCTGGAAAGCAGATCATCCATAGAAGGTGTCCGATCTTAGCTAGGACAGGATGTGCAACCAAAAGCTAACAAACTGGAGTTGAAGACGGATAAAAGTGAACAACACAAAAGTGAGCCTTCAGAACATCAAAAAATGTGCGGAAAATATCTATTTTGGTCACTGCTCTTGAGGAATTTTTATGCCACTAC